CATCTTTTATCTCCTCTCTCGTGGTCGCGGGCCTCGAATTCCCGAGGAAGTGTGAATATGTCCCAGCTGTTCGAGTACGAGAGTTTACTATCACCCGTTGTCAAAGACTCAGCAAACAAGTTCGATCTGTGATAGTGTGTGAGAAAACATAAAAATATTATCAAAGTGACTGTGAAAGTGACAAACCCGCCACGGAGGCCTTACTGTTGTTACATGTCAAGTGATCAATCAAACGGGGGTTTGTTACGCACAAACCCTTCCCCACTGTTGGCTTAAATCCGTCACGACGGCAGCTTTTGTGGATTTCCCCCTCCACTGGGACACAGAGGAGGTAAGCATTCGTCCTTAAGTTGTTATCCATCTGTGAGTGTGATGTCGGTATTTTTCGTCAGCTACTTACCTAGCTGACACTGCGGAAAACTCCCTGCGCCAGTTGTTCTGGCCGACCAAAAATGTTAGTCTCTTTGTGGTGAACTCAGTTGTCAGCCATTCGTTTATACTTAGAGTAGAGTCAGTGCTGTCAGTCAGTCTATTACACTTAGAGTCGGTTGACAGCACGTATGTCTGCCTGTCTCCCAGTCAGTCAGTGGTCAGTCCGTCGGTCAGTCATCTTTTAGACTCAGCCAGTCGGTATGGTCAGCAGTCAGTCAGTCAGTCTGTCCCTGTCGTAGGCGCAATTACAACAAGTGCGGCCGGCGGTAATGGGCGGCCGAATCAACAGGTGTTATCAGTGAGAGAGAGGAGGCGGAGTGGCCGTGTGAGAGCGTTCGAGTGTGCGTGAGTGCGCAGGGCGAGGAGGAGAGGGCGCCGGGGCGCTCTTCGTCGTTTATTCTTCTGGCGCGACGGGGAAACTTTTGTCTGTTTGAACGGCGACGACCCGCCGGGGCGGCCCTCGATTAGGTAGCCGATGGCAATCAAAGTCAACAGCAAAAGTCCGTCGTCTGGACGCCTCGGAAGGGGCGGCGGCGGGAGGGAAGACTCTAAAAGTCGCCCTGCGGTCGCGCGGCGGGAAAAAACTGAGTCGACTAGCTTCAAGTCGTGCTGCAGTCGACAATGTTTCCTGTTTGCTGAACAATGATAGAACGGTCGTGTTTTTTCTTATTTGGTGCTCTATGAGGAACAGTAACTTTGTCGTTTTACCTTTTGCTTACGCGCTCTTACACTCTGAAAACGCAAGTGTGTGAATGTCGCTCACTTGCAGGTGCACGAATTGATATTCACACACCTGCAAGTGAGCGACATTTACACACTTGCGTTTCCAGTGCAGGCGCGGATCCAGTGGAGGGGGGATAGAAGGAAGGGGTACTCGAACTAGAAACCTTAACAAGCCGCCTGGTGGGTAGGCAGTCATTGATACAGTCCTGTAAGGGGTGGTTCGTCCGCATCTCACCCCAGAGACTGTCTTTTGGTTTTGCACCTGCACTCTTAAAATACTCGACGGGTATGATATCATAATATGCACCCCGTGGGAAAGTTGCGGTTTGGCGGTTTTGATACGCAGCAGTAGCTCTATCATATCTGAACACAGTGGGAAAGAGACAGAAAGAGAAACAGAAGAAAAAAAGATTTGACTTTGTTGATCAACACTCTTTCATTTAAAACTGATGCACGTTTTGCTTGTCGCAAAATAAATAATATTTTTTTTTATCAGCTGCCAAACTTGCTTACAAAGTTAGTGCCACCGCCTGGCCACTCATCGACATGGTCTAATCGTCGCATAATAGACGATTCTTGTATTTATCGCCACTTCAATCACTGGGGCCTAGTAAAATGAAACTTTTTCTTCGTTCTTCTCGCCAATTCATATATTTATCACCTCCTTGCTTGAACCTATGATGGCCCAGTAGGCTGCGCTTTCAACCGATGCCGTCCGTGCGGAATTCCCTCATTGCCAGGATCAGGATCCCGAGTAGGTTACAGGCCCTGCCAGTGGGTGTGCGCGTGCACGTATCTGTGCGTGCGTGCGTGCGTGCGTGTACGTGCGCGCACGCGGCGCGGTTGTTATATCAGCTTGCACAACGCCCGCCCGCCTCCCCGTTCAACATTGGCAGTAATAGTTGAACTTGACTTCCTGAGGAACGAGGGATGCGGGGCGCGGCGGCGGGGCGGGGCGAGGAGGAGGCAGACCGGCCGACCCACTTCCTTCCGAGTAACCGAGGAGAAAGTGGCACTCGGCGCGGCGGGGCGGGGTGCGGCGGGGCGTGGCGGGGCGTAAGGTGGCTGTAAGGCTCCAGCGAATCGGCGCGGCCATGACGCAATCTGTGCTGGCCGCAGTCCCCGCCCCACCAGGTTCTCCTCCTCCTCCTCCCCGCCCCCCAGCGGGGCCCCCACCCCGCCTCCTCCTACTCCTTTCCAGGCCGCCACGCGTGCGAAAGTTCCCGTTACTGGGGTCCCGGCCCCGGCTGCGTTACCTGAGCGTTACCTCAGCGTTACCCGAATGAATGAGCCCCGCGGGCCGCGGCCCATAAGTGCGAGAGGGACGACACCCGCCTGCTGGTCTCTTTTTCTCCTTCTCTCTCTCTCTCTCTCTCTCTCTCTCTCTCTCTCTCTCTCTCTCTCTCTCTTTCTCTCTCTCCCTCTGTCTGTCTGTCTGTCTGTCTGTCTGCCTCACTCTCTCTCTGTCTCTCTTTGACGCGAAAGTGGTGCCCCTCTTTTGCGTCCGCCCCACGTCATCTCTGGAGCCCACTTGACAGTTATCTGAGAGACGCGGCGGCCCGTGGAGTGCCCGCGGGACCAGTTCGCGAAATGCTGCAGGTGCAGGACCCGCGAGAGGCTGACCGCGTCCGGCCGCCCCGCCGGCTCGAGGCGGCTCGAGGGCCCCTATCAGAGATAAGGCGGGCGCGACGTGACCACTCGCGGGTGCGAGGCGCGGCGCGGTGAGAGCCGCGGGGGTGGGTGACGGCGACACGCGGACACACCCCCGCGGTGACACATGTTGCGCAATGAGGGCCCATCACCTGCCGTGCGGGGGCGGGCGCCGAGCGGCGCCGAGGGCTTTCGCGCCGCAGATAAGGAACGGCTGGCGGGGACCAGACCCGCCCGAGAAAGACATCTTTTATCTCCTCTCTCGTGGTCGCGGGCCTCGAATTCCCGAGGAAGTGTGAATATGTCCCAGCTGTTCGAGTACGAGAGTTTACTATCACCTGTCAACTGTTTTTCTCTATCTCTACCATTTCCTTAGTTATGCCTTTTGTCGACTAGTCGAGTCGATCACAGCCGCCGTGTCCAAAAATTTGTATTAAAAGGGGGCGCCAAACGGGTGAGGAGGGTGGCTTCGGGTGGGCGTTTTACCCTTCCTCTGCCTCCTCTGGCACGACTTTTAGTGGGCCAAAATATTACCTCTAATATGGCTCCTTTACTTTTACGTGTTGTCTTCCAGCCAGGAAACAAGTTTACGCTTATTTCTGACCGCCATTGTCTCTTGTGTGTGTTGCAGGACCAGGACAGCGGTGATGATGGTTTCACGTCCGAATCGGGCTCCCCGTGCGTAGACGCTTACGGCGCCATGGACTCTCCCCAAATGTACGACGCAAGTACTCCAGAGGCTAAGAAGCCCTTCCCGGGCCTGCAGGCCCACCACAACAACAACAACAACAACCCGCTAGCCATCAACAATAACAACAATAACATCACCAACAACAAGCAGGCCGTCGCCGCCCTCATGGCTGTGAAGCAGGTCCAGCAGGTGCAACAGGTGCAGCAGGTGCAACAGCAGCAGCACCAACAGCAGCACCAACAACAGCAGCAGCAGCAACAGCAGCAGCATCAACAACAGCAGCAGCAGCAGCAACAGCAGCAGCAACAACAGCAACAAAATGGGGCCCATCAATTCCACCATGACCTTACCGACCTCAACTCCCCCGAGATCTCGCTGGATCTGCAGCACCTCATCGACGACTCGCAGTTCAACGAGGGGCTGTTCAGCGAGATCCTCAACGGGCCTCAGTCGGCGGGCAAGCAGCTGCCGCAGCAGGCGGTGCAGCCGCAGCAGCACCTGCAGCCGCACCTGCTGGGCGCGGCGCCCTACCCGCGCAGCCTGGGCGGCTACATGCCCCAGCCCGTGCACAACGGCTTCGCCACCAACTCGGGCTCGGACAACAGCTCGTCGTCCGACAGCCCGCCCACCAGTATCAAGGAGGAGCCCTCGGAGCCCGTCGAGTTCAGGCGGGCGTGCGCGCAGCAGGGGCCCGGGGCCATCGGCGCCGTGCACGTGCCGTACTCCAACTCCTACTCGCCGCCCAACGCCGCCAACTTCGCGAGCAACGGCGGCGGCTCCACCTTCACCACGCTGACGCCCACCGTGATGCCCGGCGCCAACGTGCTGCACCACCACGGCCTCGGGCTCAAGGGGCTCAAGGCGTCCCTCCACCACCACCACCACTCGCGCAAGGGCTCCAAGTCCGTGGACAAGGCGAGCGACGAGTACAAGCGGCGGCGGGAGCGGAACAACATCGCCGTGCGGAAGTCGCGGGAAAAGGCGAAGATCCGCTCCAAGGAGACGGAGGAGAAGGTGCGGTTGCTGGTGAAGGAGAACGAGCGCCTGCAGAAGAGGATCGAGCTGCTGAGCGAGGAGCTGAACGTGCTCCGGTCGCTCTTCACCAACGTCGGGGTGGTGCCCGAGCACCTGCACCGGGAGATCAACAAGCATTTGGACTCCTTCCAGCAGCACCAGGGGCTGTGATCGCCCCGGCCCCGGCCGCGACGGCCACCCCTTGCCAGGGGGACCCTATAACCAAAGACACGGCGAAACGGTGGTGCTAGTGTGGTGACCTAAACAAAGCGAAAACGGACTTTGTGTGACCGACCACCAAACTACCAAATACACTTTACTTTTAAGGTGAGACGTGTGAGGGGGTACGAGTGCTTTCTCTTGTTTAAACACTTCGTAGTGTAAAAGTTAGTCAAGATTGTTTTTTATACACGGTCCGCAAGAGGCACCTCCAACGGTGGTCTCGCGAAGAGCGAAGCAGATTGGCTGGGACTAATCGTAGATCGGCGTGTAGGAGGGCGTCGTGTCGACGTTTTTTACGGTTGTGCTTAGTTGTTTTTCGGTGTTTTGTCTCGATAGGCTTGGTGGCCGATGTGCACGCCCAGTTGTACCTTTTGTTGAAATACGCGCACAACATTGAAGCCACGTCATTAAATACCTAGGCAATTAGACGTCCAATTTGTTTCCCTCGTTCAAACCAGTGGTTAAAGACGTGGTTTCTACCTCAACTCTTTCAGTAATGAAATTTAACGATAGGATTAAAGATCTCATTTTCTCCTCTGCCATTAAATGGTGAATATTTTGTTATACACGGACACTTTGACGATGCAGAGAATTTCCCCTCTCGACTGGGATCGCTTACCAAGCCTACGGGAAGTGAATGACTGGGAGAGATTCTTCAGTATCCAAAGACGTACCTCGGAATCCTCTAGGATTCGTTATGTATCACTATTAGACTGACGAGCGTGTACTTTGAACAAACATGTTGTGACGTGGAAAATGTGTGTTTTTTACTACGGCGTGGAGATTTTTGATTTTAGAAAATTTCGCAAAGAATTGAACCGGTAATACCTAGTTGCACTATTTTATGGGCTTTCTAGACCCTCCACTTCTCAGCCTTAGTAGCCATATCATATATCTCTCTCTACTGACATATCCGACAAGTACAGTACCATGATCGATAGATTGTTATATGACCTTTGATTAAAAAAAGTTAGTTGGCCGATGCACATTTTCCTGCGTTTGCACTTATGTCTGTATATTTGGGGTAATCGAAATACAGTGCCTTAAGAACCGTGATATCAGCTAAACTATGAAATATAAAAGGGCGTATTTTCCTTACCACGCATACACTGCCTGATCTATCGTATGCAGAAAGTACTGTTTATAATTTGTGTTGATATTATATGAGCCATTCATAAATATGTTAATCCGATTTTGATGAAGGCTGAAATATTTTTATATTTTTTACTTTTGAGAAATCTTTTTTAAAGATTGTAGTCGCACACAATCTTAGATGAGTATGTAACTTTAAACGGCCACTGATTATAACAAAACAACGAATTGGATTTATCAGTCACAAATTATACTTTTAAGTTCCCAGATCTTGAGGTACCAATCTAGTTTTTATATAGGGCTATAAGATTTTGAGGCTTACGAGGCCATTATGTGCAAAACTACCTTAAAAACGTTTGCACAGCGATATAATTTTACAGTAATTGTTTGTTATATTGATTCAGTCAAATACTTTCGTTCTATGCTTCTATGAGAAGTAAAACCATTTACCTGATTAGACAGTGACGTATGATTGTTGTAGTTAAGAGAAATATTTTCATATATAATAATTTTATTTTAGTAGTCTTGTTTTCTTTCCTCATTGTTGGCCTGTGAAACCTCTTTACTTCGAAGTATTTACCATTAGTTTGCTTATTTCATGTTATTTTCAGTCATGTGTCATGCTCTCCTCTTCTGTCTCTCTATCTCTTTGTTGCGTTTCCTTTTGCTTCCACTAAACCTTCCCGTGTTGACAATGCCCGTTAATTCATAAGATACATAATCATTTTACGTCATCACAGTTCCATGTTTCACGACCAAGGCCTCCCCTTTCTGTTACCATATTAGTGTTGATTTATAAATCTTTATTTATGACAGAATAAGTATTTGAAACAGTTTCTCTTAACACTGCTTCTGTATAATGTGAATGTCAAACAAGAAGAGTTATTTATTCCTGCTGATTTTTTGTTAAATGTGTTTATCATAATAAACTTACAATTTGATTATTAAAACTTCATTCGTTTTGGGACCGAAAAGAAAATACCCGAATCAACCAATCATAATATTACCGTTTTGGAACTTGTTACCATTAAATGCCACTTTCGAATTTGAAAGTAATGTTGCTGTACAAACAATACCTGTATGTGTACTTTCTACCCTTTATTTATATGTATATATAGAGGTATTGTTCGGAACTCTGGTCCTCCATTCAATTAATTATCACGAAATGAACAAAAATGCCAAGATCAACTTTTGCGAAGAAATTGTATATTTGCTCAATACGGTTGTGACATGATCCATCGCTTTAATATAATTAGATCAATAGATTTTTAATACGGGAAGGGCGGGAAGTTTTTAAGTGATTAGAATATAAATCTTAAAGTAATTTCAAAATCTCGAAAAGCTACTATTTAGATCTTTTTCATCCTAATTTACTGTAACTATGTACCATGCTACCGAACAATACCAAATTTTTGTTACCAACGTAAGTTACTGTATTTTTCCTCTTTCTTTAAATACCTTCTTCTACTACTGTCCCTCAATCCGTTATCGTGTAAGGCAACACAATCGGCATGGAGTTGTGCTTAGTGATGATTCTGGTGGAGTAGGAAATAAATGATTCAGTGATGGATATTTTCTTGATTTGATTGAACTTTACATAGTAAAGCTACTGATAAAATATGGAATGTTGTAAACATTTTTTGTTAAATCGATTGAAGAAAATTATATTGTACAATGAAATTTTTGTAATCGACATTTCTTTATTTACCGAGCCCTTTCCCACAAAAAGAAAAAGAAAAGGAAAATACTTGTTGGTACAAATAGACTACATCGCGCTCTCACATGCTCCCCTCGAATCATATTGTTGCTGGATTGGGCGACAATCGACGATCTACGTCAAAATGGAAAACTTAAACACTATAGGTTGAGACAGGAATATCTGGAAAGCTGCAGTAAAACCACAGAGGATTGCCGCAAAGAGCTAAAGGGCGTAAGAAAAATTTGAGACAGTCTAGAGAAGCCGCCGCACACTCACATCTGAAACTAGGAGCGCATGATGATGGCACTGGCCCGGCGCACCCCGTCTGGTGTCGCGGCCCCACCCCCGGACGGGCCCCTTGGCCTTGGCAGCGCGAGCTGGGGAGCGTCAGGAAGTCCTAGGGGCGACGCCAAGTTAGTACAGACCTCGGCAGACTACTGGGGGGGGGGGGGGGCGAATTCATACGACGGTCGCCGACCGGAAACGGAACGGCCGCCCGCGCCACTGCCAGCCTGATTGTCTGATTGGCCGAAGCCGTATAGGACCGCCCCTCGGCGCCGCCGCCGCCGCGCCACGGACGCGGGGGCCCGAGCGAGGCGTGGCGGGGCGTGGCGGGGGGAGAGGTAATTAAAAACCGAATCCAGAGCAAGCACTGGGGTGCCTGAACTGTCGTCGCCCTCGCCCGGGCGCCTATTTGACCCGACGTCAGGACGTTACTACACACGTCCGCTGAACGACAGCCACATCCAGTCCTTTTTACTGTTTACAAACACATTTACAGCACTGCGTGTGACCCGCGTGTTGTGCGTGAGTGGAGCGGGGCGCGGCCGTGGGGGGATTGTGCCAAATGTGACTGACCGGCAAATGTCTCTCTAACAAATTCGCACAGCGGAGGAAAAGGGGGCGGGGGGAGGGGCACAAACAAAACAGTTTAGTGCGTGAGAGCGAGAGGGAAAGAGAGAGGGAGGGAGGGGAGAAGTCCGGGAAGGAGGAGGAGGAGGGAGAGGAGGAAGTTGCTATTGCGTGTCTGTGGCGAGAGAGACGGACTGCTTGCTGCCGCCACGCACCTGAAGAGGGAGAGGGAGAGACAGACAGACACGCACTGCAGCGTGGCAGTCCTAACCCACTTGGCATCCCCGGGCGTCACGAGCCACGCGTAAACGTGCGTAAAGCGTCTTCTCTTTATCCCTACACCCCTGTCTGTCTGGCTGTTGGTCACTCATCTGTCATTTGTTCAGCCGCCAGTCTGTCGGTCATTCATTCTGTCAATCATTCAGTCATTCATCCAATGAATCAGTAATTCGCTTATTACGCTGGGGTGCAAGTTTCGGCTGGTTTCTGGGGGCCGCGGGCGCCGCGGGGGGTGAGCACTCTGCAGTAACTTTCTGAGGCCCGTGCCGAGGAGGGCCCGGCCCACAACAGCACAGTGCGGCCCTATAAATTTCCCGTGGTCGATGAGGTGGCCGGCGGCACGTGGCACTCGCTTGAGTTACGCCCCGGGGGCCGCTCGGACACCGCGGGGCGCCGCCGCAAGCAGCTCTCGAAGAAACGGAGTGCCGTAAAACTGTAGCATTTACTGCTCAACCCCCTCGCCGCGCGGCAGCTGATGCAGCTCGAGAGAGGAGTGTAGTTTGTCTCTAGGCGGGATGCGACGGGAGGGGTCGGCGGCGGGGGCGGAGGTGAAGGTGGGGACCCCCTGGTCACGGGGCGGACCTCGGCCCGCGCAGGCCCAGCAGCGGTGGTCGTGCACAGCCAGGAATAGCACGACGCGGCGCGCGACCGCGAGCAGCAGCGCTCCCGCGCGTCCACCAGGTAGTTTGATTGGTTTTGTGGCCGCATCCTCCTCATGCACATAAC